AGAACATAGCCCAAAGCACCACACTGCCTCCGCCAGCTTGCCTTCTTCCCATAGTGCATCCTGGTGCCATGTGTTCCCCAGTTAGCGATGCAAACGCACCTGGCCATCCACAAAATGTAAAATAAAATGTGATTCATAAGACCAGACCACCTTCTTCCATTGGTCCGTGGTCCAGTTCTGATGCTCACCATTGTAGGTGCTTTCGGCAGGAGACAGGGGTCAACATGGGCACCCTGACTGGTCTGCAGCCCCATACGCAACAAACTGCTCTGCACTGTGTGTTCTGACACCTTTCAATCTGAACCAGCATTAACTGTTTCAGTACAGTAGCTCGTCTGTTGGATCTGACCACACAGGCCAGCCTTAGCTCCCCACGTATTAATGTATCCCACCCACTGACAGGTGCCATGATAACCAGATAATCAGTGTTATTCACTTCACCTATCGGTGGTCATAATGTTATGGCTGATCGGTGTAGTACGGACATGAGAAAAACTAGAAAGGAGGAAGGAGACAATCACAGGCTGATGGATTGATGAGTCCAGTGGAGGGACTTCACTGATCTTTCCCAATGTGTTTTTTATGTGGTCTGTCTGTGGTGGATAGTAGTGACTTTTATTGAGTATAAACAGTGGTGCCAATTTTGAAAACTGTACTGTTAAATAAAAACTTAACTAAACAAATTGAATTTAACTGGAAGGCCAGAGACAAAACGATTATCTGTGAAAGTGCATCCACATGTGCAGTTACAGGATCAATACTGTGTGCATTAATGCATGAACAGGACATGAGGATGTACAGGAAACATGTACTGTGCTTAATGTATTCAGGACATTTTACATTTTAGTAATCAATAGTCGTGCTACAGAGACAGACAGTGGATTCCTCTGTTTGGAGAGTTACACTAATATTAGTTGGAACTAATCACTGAGTGTGTGTTCTGATCTGGGTGGAGTAATTGATTGTTACAGGACATTAGCAAAGTCTCATCTCAGTGTGGCTGTAATGTGATGGGAGAGCAGACGACCTCGCTGTTATATAACATGTTATCGAGTAATAAGGAATCGTGGGAGAAGTAACCTGGAGGTAACTTAAGGAACATCAAGACCTACATATTTTATATAGGGCAAGTTTTTCTTGTCGCAGAAAAATTGAAATCATTTTCTACAAATGCGTTTGTAATAATTACAGGACAAATTATACAATTTTCAGCAAAAACAAAACAAAACCATTCTTTTGTTTAATTTTCATATTACGGGGAACCCTGGTAGCTTACAGTAGAGCGCCTATATTCCAAGGACCAGCTTACCACAGGGTCAAATCCAACCTGTGGCCCTTTACTGCATGTCATTCCCCCTCTCTTTCGCCCTTTCATGTCTGTCTTCAGCTGTATCAAATTAAAGTCCAAAACAATTATTTTAAAAAAAAGTACTTTAGCAGAGTAAAACATGGACATTTAAGGCCTTTATAGGAATGTTGGCTTGAATTGGATCCTTTTGTGAGGGGAACTGTCTCAAAATATTTCAGGGACCGGAACTAATGTGTGCAAACTGGAGAATGAGGTAAGAGCTGATTGAATTTGTGGTTATTGTTACAACTGAAATATCTCAAACTCCTGGAGAACTGATTATTGATTGATTTGATGGGACAAAGCAAATCATTTTCTACATTTTGGCAGGATGTGATGTCAGTAACAAGCTGTCTGTTTGTGATAGATTGTGAGTGAAGCTAACAACATCTTGGAGATAAATGGCTCTAAGATGGTTAAAAAAAGCAGCAGCAGGATGACAAATTGACAGTATATAAAAACTGACCCAGTTCATTGATAATATCCCTTCGTCATTGGCGGTCTCCAAAAGCTATTTCTGTCAATCTACCCCACCCTGCCAGCGATAATCTTTTAACCAGCTGCGTGGCCATCTTCGCTCTTTCAAAGGCATCCGCAGAAACTCTCATGAAGCTCAGCCAACGCTCCATAAACACTACATAGCCTGGAGACAGGTGAAGTTTTTGTTGCAGATTAAAAGTCCAAATCAGCAAGTTGTTTGAGCGGCGAGCCAAGAGAAGAGTGCGTGGAGGCCCGAGGCGCTGTGCTGCAATGAGTCAGAGAGGGGATGAGGAGCAGAGAGATACTGGAGGAGAGGAAGACAAACGATATGATTTAAAGAGGGAGGGAGGAGGGGGGGACCGATTTAGGGCTGAGTTTAGGTGAGGAGGGGGCAGAGAGAGAAAGAATAAAAAGACTGAAAGGAGAAATATTTAGAAAAATGAAGAAAAAAAGAGTAGAGAAAGTGATTTGCATCTTACATCAGGAGGCGTTTAAAGTCTTTTTGTTGTGGGAAGGAAATATTTAGAAAGAGACAATTTTACGTCATAATCTAATGCAGATTTTCACAAATACACACGCATGTACAGTGTATATAAAAGGATTGACAATAAGATGATTATCTGAATTGATTAGAATGAATGAATGAGTGAATATAATATTCTGCTGCAAAATAAGGATCCAGAAATAGAGTAAATGTTAAACAGTATAAACTGTTTTTAGGCTCTTTTTCTTGTTGTACTTTATGTTTTTGGTGTTTCTTCCTTTGACATGTCTCCTTTACCTATTCTTTAGTTAATGATTTCCTACGTTTCCCAGAATTTCATCCCTGAAACTCAAAAATGCTCCCAGAAAGACACCATCTGTAGCTATATTTTTAACAGAACTAGGGTGGATTACACACTCAAACAAACTGTACACACACATACACCATTTCTGTACATGAGATACTTGTGGCTGATAAAACAAGCATGATTGTAATATCTGACACCGAAAGTGCTTCATGCCATCACAAAAGCCCCTGCAGGAGACACTTTGTGTGGCGCCCTCCCTGAGATCATCACACCCACAAACATTTTGTAGATGAGCAGAGAAGTGGCCAAAGGGACTCACTTTTCCATTTGGTAGGTTGAGTGTGAACAAGCTGCCCCTGGCTGTCGCTGTCAGGTCAGTCATACTCTAGGTTGTGCGTGTTTTGTGTACCTGTCCATATGTGTGTGTGTGTGTGTGTTTGTGTGTGTGATAAAAGGGGCTAAACACATGAGCCTTGTTAGCGAAACAGAGGCACCAGTGTTTGAATTATTGATCAAGGGAGTGAATACCATCAACACTGTAAATTCAGCAAATGCACAGGGAGCAGACACGTGTTTATTCAAAGTGATGAGTATGCCTGTGTGTGTTTGTGTGTGTGTGTGTGTGTGTGTGTGTGTGTGTGTAGGTGTGAATGTGTGTGTATGTGTGTGTTAGTTGTGAGACAAAAAGGGAGTTGTCATCAGCTGTGGGAAGGAGGTTGTAATCGTCAGCCAGAGTGTGTTTCTAGCTGATAGTCAAATAAGATATATAGATGAGTGAATGTGTGTGTGTGTGTGTGTGTGTGTGTGAGATGCTGTCATTCCTTTGCATTTGTAGCATCCAAACACAACAAGCCCCGGGTCCAAACATGACCATATTGCAGGAAATCTTGCCCGTATGTCGTTCAGCAAAAATGCTGCTAGTCAAATACAGCTGAGTGGAATTTATCGCAGAGGACACACACAACAAAACACACATAAACACACAGAAGGGAGATGAGCCGCTTTGAATAAAAAATGTATCTCAGCAAGCACAAACTGACTAAATTAAAAGCAGTAATTTAGGAAGCTGACTATAAAATGCATTAAAAACATGAATGAACTATCTGTGTTTCAATTTTATGGGTGTATTGAAATCAAAGCTCTTCCCAAATTTAAGGTCACATGACACCAATAGTTTAACTTCATCTTAACAAAGGCGATGGCTCCAGTTGTTGGAACTACAACACCTGATTTTGCGAGTGCATGTGTTCAGGATCAAGTTCAAGGTTATGGCTCAAACGGCCCTGCTTCATGCTAACACACTGTAACAGTCATATTAAAACTTATAACCAATCAATAATGGTTTTACAATAGGAAACTATGAAATTTAAATTTAACATCAAGTGCTTCATTAATGTGTCACAATCACTGGCTAAGTATCACAACCATTATATGACAGGTGTCACTATTACTCTGCTAATCTTATAATATTCTTTAACAGCTCCCTAAACCACCACTACCTTCTCTCTATGTGTTTAGTTTTTGGTAGTGTAGATTTAACAAAGATTTCATGTTCATATATGTTTTTTTAAGGCAGGATTCATTCTCCCAGTGGATTCTTGGAAAGCTTTCTCAAAGAGCAGAGCTCTTCCTGCCAAATCTAACTGCATAACTAGCTGAACAGTCCTAGAAACCCTGGAACCCCTGGAAACAAAGACAAAAAAAATCCTATCAAGATGGCTGTAAAAGGTCACTGAATATTGATATGACTGCAAGTGATGATTTCTGGTTATGTCTGTTCTGGTTAACCTGTTAACCCAAACTCCACCACATACCCCACAGATGTAGAATTACACACCACCATCTCTTTTCACACATACATAACCGCCACACATACCGGCAGGCAAGCAGGAATCACGAAAAACTACACACACACACACATTTACACACAGGCAACTTCCGCACCACGAAGACAGCCTCTCCTGGGATGAGACGATGTACTGTAACTGAACTGCGTGCATGTGTGTGTGTCTGTCTGTGTGTGTGTGTGTGTGTGTGTGTGTGTGTGTGTGTATGGGTTCCAGCTGTTCAGGAAAACCCTCACAGGGGACTAACTATGCACATCTGGGTAACAGAGGATGTTTGTTGTCTCATTCACTGACAGACTGATGTTTCAGAATCCAGCTGTGCAGCTATTCCAGTGTCAACAATTAGTCACCAGTGTTTCCGCTTCTTTTCTGTCAACCGTTTGTTTGGGATTCAAACAAGTACAACACATCAAAAATTAGTGAAGCAATGCAATTTCATCTAAATGTGTAACCTTGATTCAGCCTGGTCTATCATTGGAGATTAAACTACATGTTGAGCACTAATTTACATTCTGTGTATGTGTGTGTGTGTGTGTTGTTCTCCAGGACACTGACAGACCTGCTGAAGCAGCAGGGAGGTGAGGCGAGCACGGTGGAAAACGCCACGGCCAGTTCGCCCAGCGGAGGGAGAGCCAACGGCATCTCGGCCAGGATGCTGCGCAGCAGGAGTGGTGAGTGCTGAGAGAGAGAGCACATACACACACATAATACACAGGTACCTCCGGGATAACGCAGCACACTCGCAGTTCTACTTCCTGCAGTAGAAAATCTCTACAGGTTGGCGTGAGAAAAACACAGTGAAATTGTGTGTGTGTGGTCAGTCATAAAACACAACTTTAGAGGAGCTTAACAAATGCAGTTTGGGTTCAGCTTGTTTTGCATGTTTCTCTTTTTCTCTGAACGGTATTATACACAGGGTCACACATGTAATGAATTTCACTCAAATTTATTATAACAGAGGAGTTTTGAATCTACAGTCTAACGCTATAACATTTACCCAGGATCAACAAATTAACCATCTCACATTTCCATCCATCCATTATCCACACCCATTTAAAGCAGGGTTGCAGGGCCGTAGCAACCATAGATATAGAAACATAGATAACGCATTCTCAATTTGACGTGTGTCTGCATATTCGCCATATTGGGAAGGTCTGCAGACTCCCTACTGAGAAATCCAGGAGGAAAGATAAAGACATTTAAAGAAAAGAAATTTACACCACATAAAGTGGCACAAACTCTCTTAGTTGTCCTTCTCCCCATACTTTACACCACGCACGTACTGTACAAAATCACACACACATATTACTGTATTTAATTTTTTAAAAATACATGACAACCTAAAAAGGAGAGGAAGACACAAACCAGAGTGTTTATCTGTTACTACAGAGAAAAAGCTTTGTAAACGCTTTAAGACATATGCTCCATGTAGCTCATGATTTATTTGCTGATTCTGTTTAGTAACATTTTCTTTTTTTCGATACACAACTTTTCTCCTCACTTAGGTTTTTGTGAATAAAAATGGGTGGTTGGAAACGCACCTATTGACACGTTTTCAGTGCTGCTGCTCTGCTTGAACACCATTTCTGCGTTTAACAGTCAACAACCAATCTAGTTGAATAGGGAGTAGTGGTTCAACACACACTAATGTACAGAGTATTTTAAACAGGGATGCACCGATACCACTTTCTTTCAGACAAATACAAGTACATTTGGGTACGTGCCAATACCGAGTCCGATATGAGTACTCGGCATAAGATCCCATGTTTTTTTTTCTGCTAAATTTGTCCAGCATTAATATCCCTAAAAAGACATCTTCTCCTTCTACCCAAATAAACATTTCAGAAAAAATAAAAAATATGCAGATTTCTCAGTCTATGTTCAGATTTCTTAAACTATCCCCAAACTGCTGACATTGCTCCTCCTCCGTGTCGGGCCTGATACTGGTATCAGTATTGGTGCATCTCTAATTTTAAATCTTATGTCTGGGATACATTATTGGCGCTGGCTGGTGAGACGTATTTTAGGCAGGGCTTAGGGAAGAAGACAGAGTGAACAATAGAACTCCTCATCTGTAAGTAGAACACATGCTTGTTGCACGTGCAAAACTGGTGCACCACACACACACACACAAACACACAAACACACACACATTAATTGTTTAATTAGTATGTTAATGTAAGCAGGCTGCACCCCTATAGGCAGCATGTGGTGTTTTCCATACGTCCTCTATACGTGCAGATACAGCGGTCTGAATATAAAATTTTGACCAGGTGCACGCCACTCTATAGTATCACATTGTTAAGAGTGTCATCAGATTTTTTATATTTGAACCGTTGTTTAATTTGGTTGTGATTGTGTGCATGTGTGTCCCAATGTGTATGCGTGCTTGTGTGCCTGCAGTTGAACAAGTGAGCATGCATGTGTGTGTGTGTGTCAGGGAGAGAGAATGGGGTGGAGTGTCATGAGAGCGCGCCTGCAGCATCTACCTCTGATCTCTTGCAATGTAGAATTTCACACACTGCTAATGACATGATACGACATACTCAATGTGAGGGGCGCTTTAATCCAGAGTGTTTCATTGAACGTATTCACTTGAAAAAAGGGCAACGCACAGACGAGCTGGAACTAACAATAAAAAAAGAGGAAAACAGATGTTTGTTGGGCAAATCAGCCACACTGGCAGCAGCCTTATTATTTCATCTCCAAGTTGCTGAGTAAATGTTGTTTGTGGCCAGAGAGCACAGATTAGGCCTACAGTTAGAAGTGCATGCGCAAGAAATCTATAAAGCTGTGATGGACTGAATGGAAGAAGGGAGTTGCAGCAGTTCATTTCGCAGCATAACCTACGTGGCTGGTTTGTAATCATCAGATACTACAGAACTTGATGGCCCTGCAGTTATCAAATCATTAATATTTATGGACACATCAGTTGATCTCGGTAGATAACATGATCTCTGCTGGCTGACTAGCTGAAATTATCTGCTCGGTTGAAATTCTGCAGTTTTGTGTCTTGGCAGCGTGACTGACTACTATTGCTGCTAGTCAAAATAAAATGCACACACACACCCATGTAGAGTGGCTGTCCAATTGGTACTGTAGATGATGTATTATGTAATTTGGTAAGATTTATGCAGGTTGTCATTTGGATTTGGATTCCTTGAATGGCTTAATTTAGACAGTGTTTAGACTTGAAACAATACTTCACTGCAATACATATCAATCATTGAAAATATAATTACATTACTTTACTCATTCAACGGAAAAGTAATTACTTAGGCTACATTACATTTTATTTTTATTACTCCGCAGCACAGCTCCTTTATCATACATATATAAAATCTCACATATTCTGTATTTAACGTGTATAAACAAATAAAGACAGTGTGGTTTAACAAGCAGGCTGCATACATTTTGAAGATATTTACTGACCATAAACAGCTGAAGTTAGCTTAGCCCTGTTGATTCCTGAATGTAGGTTTATCAGTGGTCAAGCTCAGAACCCTTCAGCCATCGCTGACGACAATTTAGCCCCTGGGGGCAACGGCCAATGCTTCGGGGCTTCATCTCCAAGTTTCATAATCTGAGTATAGCAGGCAGAGTGTCACTTTGAGCAGGAAAGTCAGTCAATTAAGGAAACTTGGGATCCTAGTTCCATTTTGCTTCTTAACAATATAAAACAATAACAATAATAATTCAGCTTTTCAAGTATACCCTGACCTTAAGAACACACAACATACAATTACCTTAACTTTGGAGTTACTAGGAAATGCATTTTGGTAGAGGATAGCCACCTCCACACACTTCTGCACCAAGCAATATGATTGTGTTGGACCACTGTGTCCTCTAATATGCAGGGACCAAACTGATATCCATCAAACTAATTACTTAATATCAAATTATAAATATCAGATTACCAGATATAGTGTGTTGCCAACCCTGGATTTAGATCATATCTCAGTGCTTTCTGTCCTCTCTCTCCTCTCCTTCTCTTCCCAAATAATTACTACATATTTCAATCAGTCCTACAGGCTGAGCTCACTCCTGCTGTTCCTCCTGTTGCTGCCTTAAAAAAGGTTTAAGTCTTAAGGAATTTTAAATCTCCCACTGCTGAGAACCACTGACTGCTTGGGGATTGACACAATCATCCAGCAGCTCCTGGAGGGCCAGACGTCCTTCAGCTACTGGATGTTTTTCAAGCACAGTCTTGCAAAGTAAACAGCACGTGGCAGAAAATACTGAGTGAATGAAAAAGTATAAGTAAGTAAATGTAGGTGTGGGACATGAGTGAGTCCACTTCTTATTGTATGTCACAGTAATGAAAGGCAGTGAAATCAGTGTTGATGCTTATGTGTTCCATATTTATTATTAATTATTACACCTACTTCTTGCCAGTGGAGGAAAAACAAAAATCCTCATCAAATCACATTGTTGTCACTATGACAGGTAGTTTGGGAGAAAAAGTTAAGTTCGAACTCAGAACTTTGCCTGAAGACTGGCTTACAACACGTCACCTAAGCTGTCTACACATGAATTTTCTTTGGTTGTTACATGATTTTAAGAAACAGGTTGACATTTGAGGGTTGACACGTCAGCGCTTCACATCATGAATCACCTCCCTCTGTCCCAGATCTTCATCCTCTGTTCACCCTAATATACTCGTTTCTGAACTGTGCAGGAGTAGCAGGAATCTCTTTGCTTTATTTGTGCTTTGAAGATACTGTGAATTTAAGCTGGCAGAAACTGTATGAAAATACAAAATGTAATGAAATAGGTTCCCTAATTGAACCACAGGACAAAGTGGAACACTACATAGATTGCCTGGGCAGAATACAGATGAACGGTATTGGTTTTTCCACAGCAGACAAGATGGCAGAGGCCTTTGGAAAAAGTAATGCTCATTACACACACAGTAATTGAACGCATTTGAACTTACTGGGTGCAAGTGTTAAAAGGCCTGCTGCCATTTTCTCTGTGGCTGACAATGTCACACCAGTGTCTTCCTCTCACAAATGAAAAGTTGAATTCATAAACATAAATTACACGCTTAATTCAATACACTCCGGGGTTTTGCCGCTACGACTGTTAGCTGATGTTGGCAAACTTTAAATAGATGTTGGTGTGTAACTGACATTACTGAGTCAGTTTGACGACTTTGTAAATCTCTTATTTATGATTTAGCACACATTATCCTATTAGATGTCATAGTGGTAATACTGGAACAAAGTTACATAGGCTCGCTAGAAAGACACAGAAATTAAATGAATAATACATTTTCCACCTTGTAATCCTTTCTCCCCGTGTTGATTATTCATTTATCTCATTTATCGTCAGGCTACCTTCAAATGCTTTCACATTCAGCTCACGCAGTGGGGCCCAGTCACAATAATATGGAGGTGTATGATCACCTGCCACGATGACTTGTGGAGCCTTCAAATTCAACGCAAGACGGGTGATGGTTTGGGACTATGCATCAGGCATAAACCTAGCTTTAGTCATCCGAGGCATTTGATTTAAATTCCTCTGGTAAACACACACATATTCTGTTACTCTTAGAAGACTTTCTAACTTCTGTTTCACTGTGACTTAGAAATGTCAAAAAGTCAGAAGCTTTAAAGTCAGAGACAGTTTTTGAGATTTGAATGAACCATCAGCAGTTGATGTTAACTGG